GTGTAGGTGTGTAGCATGGGGTGTGTAGCAGCGGGGTGTGTAGCACGGGGTGTGTAGGTGTGTAGCAGCGGGGTGTGTAGGTGTAGCAGCGGGGTGTGTAGGTGTGTAGCAGCGGGTGTGTAGCAGCATGGTGTGTAGGTGTGTAGCACGGGGTGTGTAGGTGTGTAGCAGCGGGGTGTGTAGGTGTGTAGCAGCGGGGTGTGTAGGTGTGTAGCAGCGGGGTGTGTAGGTGTGTAGCAGCGTGGTGTGTACATGTGGAGCACGGGGTGTGTAGCAGCGTGGTGTGTAGCAGCGTGGTGTGTAGGTGTGTAGCATGGGGTGTGTGGCAGCGGGGCAGCTGGCGTACATTTCACCACGTGGAGGAAGTACTGCACGGCGTGCTGGTACAGCTGCAGCGCCTCCTCATAGTTGCCGGCTTTGTCCTCCTGGGCGGCCTTGCTGGCCAGGTCGATGGCTTTCTGCAGGAGGGAAGAGGACAGAGGTTCAACAAAGAGCAAGCCTTTCGAGGGAGGCGCGTGAAAGCAGCTGTCTCCTTTGCACACAACATCCCCGTCTCCGATGAATCCCAGCTCCCAGCCCAGCTCCATGCATACATCCAAGGTCCTCTCATTCTTCCACAGGAACAACACCATGGGCACTGCAAACTCATAAACACACAATGTCCACCCCAGCCTTCTGCATTCCCAGAACCACTCAGATATCTGGACAAAAGTCTGACTCTGCCTCGTCCCTCCATTTCTAAGTGCAGTTCCTCACGTGATCTCTCCCGCTGACCTCTGCCTCTCATCAGCCAGGTCCTCCTTTCTGTAATAGATACAGCTCTCACTTAACCCCCAGCAGTCTCTAGGTCACAGAATTATGTCTCTAACTGGCCTCCAAATCAGACACCTGCCCACAGTGCTCCCATTAGACACTCTTCCAGTTGTTGTCAAGTGCCATGAAGTCCACTATGACTCACAGAGATCATATGAACAGATCTGAGCCCTGCTCTATGCTGTGACATCTTCATCCTATGATACACCTGAGCCCGCTGGCAGTCACTGCATCAATTCTGTCAATTCTCTTTTGCTGACCCTCCTCCGCTTTTCCAAACATGTTGTCTTTTATTATTATTTTTTTTCCCCAAGGACTAATACCTCCTAACAACACGCTCAGAGTATGTGAGATGAAGTTTCACTACCCTTGCCTCCAAGAAGTGCCCTGGCTAAACTTTCTCGAGCACAGACCTGTTTGTTCTATAGACAGTCCATGAAATATTTAGTACTCTTTAATTACTATAACTCAAAAACATTGATTCCCTGTCACCCTTAGTCACTGCTCAACTTGCAGACACGAAGCAAGTAATTAAAAAGACCATGGTGAGGATCAGGTGCAGTTTAGTCTTTAACCTGACACTGTTTTGTTTGTTCGGTTTGTGTTTTGTTTTTTTTTTTACTTTGGAGAGGCCCTTGACAGCAGAATTTCTCAATTTAACATGTCTATGGACTTCTTGATGGCCGATACCAAGCAGACCCAAGGAAGATGAAATCATTGACAATTAAAATCTTTTCTCTATCTACCATGGTGGTACCGACTTGCCCTGTGCTGAAGATTTTTATCTTCTTGGTGTTGAGATGTAGTGTACATTGAAGGCTACAGTTTTTGATCTTCTGCAGCAAGTACTTTAAGTCCGTCTCACTTTCAGCAAGGTGGTATCACCTGTATAATGCAGGTTGTTGATGGGTCGTCCTCTGATCCTGATGCCACATTCTTTTTTGCAGGGTCCAGCTTATTGAATGATTTGCTCAGCATACAGACTGAGTAGGCATGGAGTAAGGATACAATTCTAACACACACTTGACTTGATTTTAAACTATGCAGTGTTTGCCTGCTATTTGGACAATAGCTTTCTGGTCTAGGTATAGATTCCATTTGAGCACAATTAAGCATTCTGGGATTCCCATTCTTCTCAATGGTAGTCAGAATCTGTTATGGTCCACACAGTCAATGCCTTTGTCTAATCAATGAAACACAAATAGACATCCTTTGGGTATTCTCTGCTGAAGCCAGGATCCATCTAACATCAGCAATGACAGCCTTGATGCCATGGCCTCTTCTAAGCCCAGATTCAATTTCTGACACTCTTCTGCCAATATACTGTTCTAGTAGCTTTTAAATAATCTTCAGCAAGATGTTATTCGCAGGTCTCCTCTGCCGGTTAAATCCCATCTCTGGCACGATGAAAACCAGTCACTGACCTGTGACCCAAAGGGCTCTGTGTAATGTGGCCTCACGTCAACCTTATTACCTCATCTGGCACAGAAGTCCCAGTACGATGAACTACTGCCCTAAACTGAACCTAATCAGGCCTTGGGCTTTTGCAGGCAGCACATCCATACCGGGAACAGCCAAGTCCACTTGTCTTCCTGTAAAACTTCAATTTTTCCAGATGCCTTGAGGACGTGCTCCCCCATACCCCCACCTTCCCTCTTTGGGGTTTCAAGAACCTTTGTACATAGATCCAGTGACCACACAACATCACTGCCCACTGAATTCTTGAATCCTGGGGAGAAGTTGGCTGGTCAGAAGTGAGGGAAGCCTGGAACCCCAGAGCCAGCATCTCGAGGTGGGAGAGGAGACCCTGTAACAGCCAACCTGACTGTGATTTTAAACCATGCAGTGTTATTCCCTTGCTCTGCAGCCAGCACAGTGTTAAAGAGTTCAACTGCTTATCAAAAGGCTGACTATTCAAATCTACCCGTTGTTCCAGGGAAAAGGAGAGGCAGGCTTCTATAAAGGATTTCCCCCCATGGTGGCCTACTGGTAAAAAGCTGTGCTGCTATTCCAAAGGCATGTGGTCCAAACCCACCAGATGCTCTATGGGTGATGGATGGGGAATCTCCTCCTGTGAGACTTACTGCCAAAAACCTGCTGGAGGGTCAGCTATGGATCAGTTCTGACTCTATGGCAAATAACCACAACAAATCTTAGGAAGAAGACTCATCAACAACCTGCATTATGACACAACCTTATTTGCTGAACGTAAGGAGGACTTGAAACACTTGCTGTAGAAGATCACAGACTACCATCTTCAATATGGATTAAATCTCAGCATCAAGAAAACAGAGGTTCTCACCACTGGGTGATTAGGAAATATCATGGCGGACCGAGAAAGGATTGAAGTTGTCAATGATTTCATCTTGCTTGGATCAACAGGGGATCTGGAGAAGAACTGCATTGGTAAAGTCTGCTCTCCAAGATACTTAACAGCAATGATGCCAGTTACAAGACTAAGGTGTGCCTGATTAAGGCATGGTCTTTTCAGTCATTTGTTAAGCATCTGAGAGCTGGGCAATGCCTGAAGATGACAGAGAATTGATATCTTTGAGCTGTGGTGCTGGAGAAGCGTACTGAATACCCCATGAACTGCCTAAAGAACAGACAGGTAAGTCTAGGAAAAGGTGCAGCTAGAGTGCTCCTTGGAGGCAAAGATGGAGATGCTTCAGCGCTTACATTTTTGACGTATTGTTAGGCGAGGCTACTCCTTGGAAAGGACCTCATGCTTGGAAAGATGGAGGGCCAGCGAAAAAGGGAAGACCCTAAATGAGAGGGACTGACACAGATACTGCAGCGATTTGCTCAGGTGTGTCAGAGATGGTGAGGATGGCACAGGATACGGCAGGGTGTTGTTCACAGGATCGCTTTGGGTTGCACTTGACTTGACAGCACCTAACAAGAATAACAAGAAGCTTTAGAAACTTTATGGGCATTTCTCCTCTGTTCTACAAGGTCAGAATCAACTACACAGCAGCAGGTTTTAGGTCAGAAGTGAAGGTGTTGCCCCTGCACTTGTGGGTGGTGTGGGGAGATGAGGAGGGGAATGTGGGTAACTTGGCAGTCTGGATGACTGAGCCCTGTAGAGGTGTGAGCTCTGACCAGCCCTGGGTGCTCAGGGGTGGAAGGAGAGCGACTGCAGGTGTAGGCCTGCACAGCTTTGGTCTGTACTGACCCATTTCCCTTACACACCATGTGCAAAGTCCCCAACCCTCTCAAGGTTCTAGTATACTCTGTACCGAGATGCCAAGAAGGCTGACCCCTTCCTTTAGGAGTGAGGAAAGCACAAACTTGTAGCCAGAGACTACAAAACTATCCTCAATACTAATTAACTCTGGGCAAATCATATACTCAGTTTCTTAATACTCAAACTGACACTAAGATTCTCTTTGAAGAGCTGTCTTACAGATAAAATTATTTCACATCAAACAGCTAGTAGGTAACAAGTGTCAACTCATATCCCTTCCTCTGGGAAACACTCCGCACAGCCTAGGAAGGGTCAGATGTGCCCTTTCTACCCTCCGCCACTGACCTCTAATTCTTTACAGTGTTTGTTACATTGAGTTCTAATTTTGCTTCCTAGTTATCTGCATTCATTGGATTATTCCCATCATGAGATGACACTTTGTTGTTACGTACTGTGATGCTGGAGCTGACTCAGAACTGACCCTCCAGTCGACTGGACCCTCCAGTCCAGAGGCTGTCAATCCAAGACAAAAGGCTGCCCAGCTTGTTCCTGAAAAGCTGCTGGTAGGTGTTACCTGGCTACCCGTGGACGGGCAGCACAGCTCCTTGCCACTAGGTCACAGAAACGATCTAGCTCGGCTTCCCCACATCCCGCGCCTTATTCTGTGGGGAAACTACTTGAACGGATATTCTTTATCCATACTGCCCATATCAATGGATAGAGTGGGAAGGCAGAATGGGAAACAGTACCTGTGAACTGCCAACTCAGAGAACAGTTAACGCAACATATCCCGCCCCCCGTTTAAGCCGGCACCTGTCCCTACTTCCCCCCTCAACACTGCCCATTTCTAGCTGATTCCCTGCAAAGGTCAAGCTTCAGTCCTGCGAGATGCGTGCGATGCAGACAGCCCCAACAATCTGCACGTCCTCCACAATGAAAAGCTGGTGGTGTATACCCCGGTAACACTGCAAACAACTGATACATCAACAAAGATGATGGTCAGATAGGCTCTTCAAGAGAAATCCATTTGGATGCTTAAAAGGTCAATGCTTTGCCTGCGCTAAGGGCTGTGGGACCAATCCCTGTGCGTGCCCACGGCCCAAAGCGCACAGCTCCATGCTGGATATTTACATTTAGGGGCTAGCCTCCTGGTGCATCGTTAGGTGCCGTTGAGTCGAGTACGACTCAGCCGCCCTTTGAACAATAGACCTGGACTCTGTACCGTTTTCACTCTTCCTGACACATTAGAGCCCATTGTGGCATTAACTGTGTCAATCCATCTGGTTGAGGGTCGTCTTCTCCTTCACCAACCCTTTACCCTTCCAAGCATCATGTCCCTCTCCAAGCAACAGCCCCTCCTACCAACATGCTCGAAGTACATGAGGCAAAGCCTCATCATCCTTGTCTGGCTGCACCCTCTACAAGTCATATTGGTTTGTTCTTTTGGCCGTCCATGGGATGTTCAGTGCTCCTCCTTCCTCCAAGACCACAACGCAAAGGCATCAATAATTCTTCTGCCATCCCTGTTCACTGTCCAGCTCTCAGATGCATAGCAAGTGACTGGAAAGACTATGGCCTCCACCAGACACACCTTAGTCCTCAAACTGACATCATTACTCCTTAATACTCCTGGTGCATACATCAATAAATACTCCAAGCGTTTTAAAAAAAAAAAAAAAAGATCAATGCTTTTACCAACACGCCTGTTTCCAAAACACTTTCTAGTGAAGACTTCTGCATTTTCGTTTAATACTGTCTCTCTTTAGGTGGGTCCACTCTGCGTGGTCTTTCCTTAGGGTCAATTATCCTCAGGTAAGGATAATGTTTGCTAGAACAGACTGTTCCTTGGAGAAGGAAGTCAAGTTTGGAAAGGCGGAGGGATAGAGGAGAGGAAGACACTCAGCCAGCTGGACTGACAGACTGACTGCAGCAATGGGCTCATGTGTGTCAGAGATTGTGAGGATGGCACAGGGCTCAGATCTGTTGTTCACATGGTTGCAATGGGTCTTACTCCACCCAACAGCACAAAATAAAAAGAGGGAGGACATGTAACACCTTTTCACTTCAGTGAACAATCACAGAAAGAACACCGGGTCAATGCAAGAATCTGACCCAGAGTCTCCTGTCTCACACCAATCTTTTGGGTCCAAAATCCTTGAGGCCAACTCACTTTCAAAACCCCACTGGTACTCAAACCCTTTCTGTCATAAAATAGGTGAAAACATTATACAAATCTCTGTTCTCCAATGAGGCTGTTCCTTGGAAAGGGACATCATGCTTGGAAAGACGGAGGGTCAACAAAGGAGAGGAAGACCCCTAACAAAGTGGCTTGATTCCGTGTGACCTCAACAAGAGGCTCTGGTATGTCAGAGATGAGGATGACACAGGCCAGGCCAGGGTTCAGATCCACTGTTCATAAGATCGCTATGAGCTGTGCTCAACTCGACGGCATCTAACACTAACAATTCTCCACGAACTCGGTTCCAGAAAGGATGGACGCTCAAGTCCGAACACCTGGAGATTGTTATAACATATAAGGTGTAACGTCTCAGACCTGTCATTATGTACAAAGTCTACAGTCGTGGGATTGTTAGGATACGGAAGGTCTACAATGCTAAGACTGTTATGAATGCTACGCATAAAACACTGTACTCAGCGAGGAGATGGGCGGCAGTGGAGACGCAGAGGGCAAGAGGGCTACTGCACACACACACACACACACACACACACACACACACACACATGCTCAACGCATCCTGGCTCCGCCCTCAGCCGCCAGGGCTGGCCCCCGAGATCTAGTCACCCACAGAATGACAAGCAGGGCTCCGCTTCGCATCATTTCGGGATCGAAGACGGAACGTGACCATTCGATTTTCAAATGAACCACCGGGGCCAGTCCAGACCTCCCTTTGTGCCTCTCGCACCGAGCTCTGCCCACTCCGGCTCTAACCTGAGTCTCGCAAAGCCAAGTCCACGGTCAGAGTGGACCCCCAGCGCGAGCCGGAAGTGGCTCCTGTCCGGAAGGTGCCCACCTCCACTCCCACCGGCGCCCGCCCGCCCGGGGCGGCCGCTTCTCCTCGCAGGGGCCGGAGGAGGGTCGCGATACCTGCAGGTTGGTCGTCGTGGATGCCATGGCGGAGACGCGGGGCGGCCCTTGGGAGCAGGGGACAGGACCAACAGCAGCGTCGTCGAACCGCGTCCGGCCTCGCCCCAAACGTGGACAGGCACAGCTCTCGGACCCCGAGTCGCGCCTTGCCTTCCGGAACCGGATCCGACGCAAGGCCGCGCGCCCCGAGCCCCGAGACCCTCCTCGCCAAACTTCCGCAAAACCGGAGCCCCTCCGGGCGCTCGTCCCGCCCTGGGCGTGAGCACTTCCGCTTTCGTCATTAGAGCGCGTCCCCGACGTCCTCGCGTCTCGCCCGCGGTCTGGATTCCGGAGGCGGAAAGATGGCGTTGAAGCTAGTCGTCGGCCGGGCGGAAGTCGGGCGGGGCGCAGGCGCACTGTGGCTCAGCTGTCAGCGCGGCTCAACTGTCAGTGAGCGTTTCTTTACCCTGGGTCTTAAAGTTAGAAATAAGTGATTACTTCTGGCTTTCTCCACTCTTCAGCTCTTGAGGGAAAAAAGCCGTCTCGTGTCCTAGTTCCACAGGTTGAGGTCTGGGCCCATTTCTGTTCGTTTTCATTGGATCTTCTTGACTGTAAATTGGGATAATTATGCAAGCTGGGTTGAGATCCATAAAATGTGCATTCAGCACGTGGTCAATAACTGACTTAAGGTAAAATCTCAGGACAAGGTAACGCAGTTAATATACGTCCGTGTCCTTGCCAGGAGGCATCTTTCAAATTGATCACTGTCATCGTCATAAATATCTATTTCTCTGGGAATATCAGAGAGATATGGGCATTGCCCTGAGGAGCTCACTGTCCACTGGGGCCTCCTGAACACAAGTCTTGGCAGAGGCGCAGGCCAGATAGGTCAAAAGTAACATCTAGTCATGCTTACAAGGTTGGGGAATGCTTCATCTTGTTTGATGCCATCAAGTGGAGCACGACTCATAATGGTCATATGAACAGCTTACCTAAACACTTCCATATTCTGTGCCTTCATTATTCTCTCTGACACACTAGAGTCCATTGCTGAAGTCACTATGTAAATTCATCACATAGAAAGTGATTGAGATGCAGTGCAATGTCATAAAAACAAAACAAAAAAACCCACTCCTCACTATCGGACCAATAGGCAACATCATGGTTGTTGTTATGTGCCGTCAAGTCGCTTGGGACTCATAGCGATTCTGGTCTGTGCCAAATTCACTGTCTCCAACACCCCACTCCCATTACCCCAGTCACCGAATCAATCCACCTCATAGAGGATCTTCCTCTCTTGCGCTGTCCCTCCACCCTCCCAAGCATCACATCCCTCTCCAAGGATCGGTCCCTCCTTGCAACATGTCCAAACTATGTCAGATGAAGCCTCAGAATCCTTCCTCCCAAGGAGCAGCTTGGTTTAACCCTCTCCAGGGGGAACCTGTTTGTTTTCTTAGCATGATACCTTCAATACTCTTCTCCAGCACCACAGCTCAAAGGCATCAATTCTCCTTCAGTCCTCCTTCTATCCAGTGGAACCTAGTAGCTACAAATATATCTTCACAGGAATAAAAACTTAACTCTGGACTGGGCTTCGCATATCCTATTCTAAACCCACATGCCAACAACACCCTTAAAGGGCTGCAACAGAAGATACTTTACCAGTTTGAGCAACCAAGTTCTCGTTCTTCTATTAAGGAACACACTTTACAGCCCAAAATATTGTCAGTAGACCCACCGTGTTGTGTACCACCTCAAGTAAAGAAAGGATTAAGGGAGAATTCCAATAGGCCATAGAAACATTTGTTATCTTAAACAGGGTAAGATGAAGATGTGAAGGACTGAAACACACGCATGAATCACACACTCAGCATGAGGGGCAAAGGGAGAGTCTGGGCAGATATGCATGCTTCTTGTGGGGGGAGCATCTGAGAAAGAGGGGGTAGGGAAGAATGCTGGTGCTGCTGTATAATTCTTCCCCACATCACCTGAATTGTATTTCTTCTTCCTGATGCTGTCGCCTCAGAACCAGGGATGCAGCCATGGGTACCTTCTGGATGAAACCAGAATCAGGGTTGATCCATAAGCAAGAGAGAGTAACAACACCTTCAAACTTGTACTCAAGGATGTCCAGCACCTGATGGGATAGATTGAACCTTTCCCCTACCTAGTAAATCGATGTTGGTAGTGAATGCTGTGGTACTGTCTCATGGTCAAGACAATCCGCTAAGGAACCTACGCACCCTGCCCAACATGAATGGGAGTGGACTGAGAGGGAAGCACTTGCTAGACTGGTCTTACTGCCAGTAGGCTACACTGACATGGCGGCTGAACCTGATGTCCCTTCCTAAGGAAAACAGTTCAGGTCAAAATAAATGACAAAAATGAAAAGAATAACTAATGGTAAAAGAGTAGATAAGCAGGCTATGAATTGGGAGACCTTTAACGTACTGATAACTCAAGACAGACTCAGGGCCAGTGAATAATTACTTCAGTAGGATTTTACACTCTCATTTGCTTGTGATCCAGTCAGAGCTGACTCACATCTGACCTTCCAGCTGTGTTTTGGGAAGCTGTAAATAGCATGAGAGGAGCTTGCACGTGTTTCTCTCATAAGGATACACTGGTAGACTTGAACTGCCCGAGAGGAACTGCCTTTGGGTCAACAGCACAACTTTGTGCAGACTACGATGCCACTAAAGCTCCCTAATATTTTATCAGAAATTAGAAAGTGGGGATGAGGCCTGATCAGACCAGATGGACACCTGCAGAACACCTGACCAGTTGGCACCTGGGTGACCTCACCTGTTCAGACTCTGTGCCCTGTTGGGGGATGAATTGCTAATAATGAGTTGGGAATGGTGCAATAATTGAGAGGGAAGTTAATCCTTCAAGAATGAAAAAGGTCACTAGCTGGAAGAGCCAGGGGGGTGACCTGGAGTGAATTACTGGATGTGGGCCTCTAGCCACAGTCCTCCACTGTGTAATGAGGAAGACTCCCCAACAAGATGGGCTGAAGCAGTGACAGTAATAATGAGCTTGAGAAGACCAGAAAACTTGAGGATAGTATAGGAGAGGGCAAGGTTTGGGTCTGCTGTTCATAAGATTACTATGAGTCATAGGCAACTCAATGGTACCCAACAACACTCTCTCTCTCTCTCTCTCTCTCTCTCTCCCCCCTCTCCTCTCTCCCCTCTCCCCTCTCGCCTGTCCTCTCTCTCTCTCTCTCTCTCACACACACACACACATACACAAGCTCTGGGGAACCAAACCCACTTCCTACAAGTCAATTCAACTCATGACGACCCCTCATTGGGTTTCTGAGGCTGAATCTTTAGAGTAGGAGACTGCCCTTGTTTCTCCCATGCAGTAGAAGCTGGTGGATTCAAAGCACTGGCCTATCTGTTATGAACCCAACTTGTTACATCATACACCATCAGGGGTCCTTACCTCTGGGAAAGGCTCTTTCTTCTCTGGATCCTGCATCTAACCTGATCCAGCAGCTTGGCAAACGCTGGCAAACCAAGCCACCCGCTGTTCCTCCGCTCCTGCCGCTTTGTGAGTTGTCACAGCCCTCCAGCCTGCAGCTTCATGCATAGATTTGGGATGTGCCAATCGCCACAACCACTGGAGCCATTTCCCTGGAGGTTTGTGACTTTTGTGAGAAGTTGCAGCAAATGATGAAACTCAAAGACAAAGACAGAAAGAAGTTGGGAGGAGGAATAAAATATACTAGAGGTGATGGAGTGCTCCAGAATTTGGAAAGGTTGGAAATTTACGATGTCTTTCATCTGCCTCATAGGATGAGCTTGGTGCAAATCCATCTAAAAGAATTCATTTGTGTATTTATGTCTCACTCTCTAAACATTTATTTTATCCAATTTACTTAATCTTCAAACGTTTGCTGAGCACCAAATGAAAACTTCAGACAGCTGTAGTGGCGCATTCCACAGGGAGTTGTTCTGTTAACCCAAAGGCTGTGTTTCTGGCATTTCATGTCCACCAGCAGTTCTTCAGGAGAAAGATGAGGAATCACGTCCCTGAGCCTCACAGCCTTGGAAACTCAACAGAAGCTCAGGGATGGGTGATTCAGACTCCATGGGAGTGGGGGCTGGGGGAACGGTGGAGAGAAACGTTAGCTTAGGCACTAATGGAACAGATATTGACAAAATAGCTAAACATTGAGGTATTTGTACAGCTGACTCAAAGGTACAGGATTCAAATCCCCCAGCTGCTCTGGGGGAGAAAGGACAGTCTCCTCTTTTGCTGCTTTCGTTCTCTGAAAATGCGGTAGAGTGGCAGCTAAGAGTCAGCTGTGACTCAATGATATATACCATCCAAAAGAACTGTATGCCTCACCATACCAGGTGCTGGATAGGAAGCAAACATTCAGAAACCCCTTTTGTGTCATCATTCAGAAACCTCTGTTGTCTCACCATTCAAAGCCCCTTGCTGGGCCACCCTGTTGGATCAACAGGATATGGCCCCAATATTCAATGACAAGAGGTCACTTCTGTGATTTTTTTTACCCCAGAATCCCTGGAAATTCACATTATGAATCTAATAATGAAAAGAACGTAGAAAAATTCAAACTGAAGGACAGTATTCAAAACACCTAGCCAGTGTTCTTCAAGAGTGAAAGCTATAAAAGATGTGAAAAGCTCAGACAAACTGTCACAGACTGGAGACGAGGTGCAGCCAAGGTTCTGCATAAAGGCAAGGTTGGTGAGGCTTCATCCACATTGGGCATGTTATTGAAAGGGATCGGTTCTTAGAAAAGGGCTTATACTTGGAAAAATGGAGGCTCAGAGGAGGAGAGGAAGTCTCTCATGGGAATGAATTGGTATAGTGACTTCAGCAACAGAGGAGATTGTCAGGATGGCCCATGATTGGATAGAGTTTCTTTTTTATTGAATTTATGTTGTGAAAGAACAATGTCATTATTTATCTTGTCTTATTGCTAAGCCCTCCTTTTCCCTTCACCCTCCCCATCCATTTGCTAATCTCTATTCCCTTCCCGCTCCCATTAACCTCCACAGCTGTTTCTGT